TTTTTTTTTTTTTTTTTTTTTTTTTTTTTTTTTTTTGGTCTTTTTGAAACTGGGTCTCCCTGTAGTCCCACCTGGCCTGGAACTCACTATGTAGACCAGGCTGGCCTTGAATTCACAGAGATCGGCCTACCTCTGCCTCCCGAGTGCTGGGATTAAAGGCTTTCACCAGCATGCTCAGCATGACCCTCCATTTTTAAAGAAATTAACTTTCAATTTGTCTGTGGGGATGCACGCATGCATGCATGTATGTGCATATCTGTGCCCATGCCTGCCGGTCACAGACAGGAGGCCTTGTTCTGCTCTGTGGCTCTCTATCTATCTTATTCCCTCGCTCACTGAACCTGGAGCTCACTATGTCTGGCTAGGCTGTCTGGTCAGAAAGCTCCCAGACTGGCTTGTCTTTGCCCCTCAGTGCTGGGGTTATAGAGACATTTGACCAGCTTGGGTGCTGGGGATTCAAACTCAGGTGCTCAGGCTTGCCCAGTAAGTGTTCTACCCACTGACTTATCTCTCTAGCCCCTAAATTCAGTTTTAGTATTCATCATCGATTTTATATTTATGTATATATCATATATGTACATAAGATATGTATATATATCATATATACATAAGATTTTATATTTATGTATATATATCATACATATACATAAGATATATACATCGATTTTATATTTATGTATATATATCTCATATATATACATAAGATATATACATATATAAGATATATGTATATATGCATATATCTTCCAACAACAATAATTAGCATAACAACCATAGCCAACATAAGAATCAGGGCTGGAGAGATGGCTCAGTAGTTAAGAGCACTGGCTGCTCTTGTAGAGGACCCAGGTCCGATTCCCAGCACCCACATGGTGGCTAACAACCATCTGCAACTCCAGGGGATCTGACTCCCTCTCCTGACCTCTGTAGGCACACATGGTACACTTACACACATGCAGACAAAGCACACATGGTACACTTACACACATGCAGACAAAACACTAATACACATAAAATTAAAAAATTTTAAAAAGCACAAGAATCAAGGTATTTCCTTAAAATTCAAGGCTGGGTTCCACAAGACAGAACAAGATCTCAACATTCTCACAAACTGACCTGGGTTGGTGAAACCAAGGCAATGACTCTTTACTCGTTCTTGAAGAGGGTATGGGGTCAGGCCTTGCAGGATGGGGGCTGGGGTCACGGACTTACTTTCACATAGGTGCGCTCTGTCTCCAGGAGCTCACAGATGACCTTGCGCAGCTTATCTGCGTCGGACAGTTGTCTGGTGGTTGCCAGCTGAGGCCCTGTGGCATCCTGAGGGGACGGACTGGAGTCAGAGGTGCTCATCTCATGCAGACTGCGGCAGAATGCGGCCACCTGTTCTGTGCTCTTTGAAGCAGGGGCGAAAAGGCAAAGCAGAGGTCGTCATTCTCAGCACACAGCCTCTCCTGGCATCTGGTGCTCAAGACATTTTTCCAGTTAATGAACTGTCATATATGAATTACCTCTTGCGTTCCCAGACTGTAAGGATGACTTTTACAATCTGCACAGAATCTGGACTAATGACTTTTTCTTAACTTTGTACCAAAAGGCTACTACTTATAACGTAAACAAGCTCATTGAGCCATGCGCTCCCTTTGTGACCTGGGCACCGGCCCTCAATCCCTCAGGATTCCACTTTGCACTCCATCCAAGATAGTTAATGAATGTGGACGTGCTTTGTAACATACCAAAGCACTGAGCAGCATGCTCATCTCATTGAAAACAACTGAGAAATCTGCTTGATAATGTGTGTGAGAGATATTTCAGACCTACGGATCAAAGGGCAAGATTCTCTGATAAGGGTGTATCCCAGCTCCTACTTCACAAATGGTTTCTGGGAAGACTGCTTCAATAAAAGTATGGGTGAGACATCTGAAGGATTGGGTGCCGCAGATTCCACTCTTGGCCTTAAATGTGAATGCTAAGAATAAGGCTTCTTTTTCTAGGAAGAAGTGTAATGTGGCTTAGTAACACTACACCAAACTGTTCCATACATTCAAAAGTTCCTTGAATGCTGACAACCACCCACAATACCCATCATGCACTGGTCTGAGGTACTTACTCCTCTCACATGACATGGAAAGGCCTATTATAATTCCCATTGAACAGTTGGGACAAACCAGGCCCAGAGAGGCAAAATACGTCATCCAAGATGACACACCTAGGAAATGGCAGGAGTGGAATTTGAACTACATAAGCAGGTTTCAACGTCTGTGATTTTGGGCGGTGAGGGGTGGTAGTGTTGGTAGTGGTGGTAATGCTACCGAGAATGAAACTCAGGGCCTCGGATATGCTAAGCAAGTGCTTTGCCATCAAGCTACATCCCCAGCCCAAATTCTGTGATCTGAGCCATTCTATGAGAAGCTGATAAATCAGAAGAGAGACACACAGAACTTAAAGACATGTAACAAAATACAAGGTTAAGTAGTCAGTCATCACATACCGTTTCCTATACTATTTACCTACTTTGCATGTTGGAAAATAACTTCTTCATGTAACCATTAAAAAAATTAACTCACACTGGGGAAGCCACTATGTTTAGACAGATAACTGCATTTTGTGCAGAAACGAACCACTACCCTGTGAGCAGAAGGCAGCTGGCACTGAAACAGGCCATGGCAGAACTCAGCCTCCACCCACCTCAAAAGGGGCTGATTCGAAGGAAAATTGCAAAGGTTGCTCAAGAGTTTCCTATCCAGCTGAACTTTAGGATTCTAAAATTCCCAACTCTGGAGTGATACACAACAGTTCTCCAAAGCACAGACCACTGAAAATCTGCTGGGGCCAGCAACTTACCACTTTGGGACACTGGAATTGCCTAGACACCTTTGGAACATCCCAGGGCACAGCTCAGATCATTCTAATCAGACTCTGCAGTGGGGTACTCTGGTACTGGTATTTGTTATATTTTAATTTATTTTGAAACAAGGTCTCACTATGTAGCCCTGGCTGGTCCAGAATTCACTATGTAATCAGGCTAGCCTGCAACACAGAGATCTGCCTGTCTCTGCCTCCTAAGTGCTGGGATTAAACCTCCCATGCAACTTTGCATCAAGCAGTTTTAGAACACAGAATCTGGTTTATGTGTCTGAATGCACCTCTATAAAATGTGAGGTGGACACTCTCTATCTTCTCCTACATCTCTGCTTCCAAGGTCTAGTTCAATCCTAAGCAAAAAGCACATTTTCCCAGGAAATTATGGTGCAGATGAAGATTTACTCCCTTATCATCCAGGAAGAACATTCCTTCCTCAAACAACAGCTGGCCCACAAAGCAATAAGACAAGGTCCGTGTGCGCTTGCCCTGGGAGGTAGGGAGGGCTGCGTGTGTGTGTGTGTGTGTGTGTGTGTGTGTGTGTGTGTGTGTAAGGCAGAAAAGCCTTACACAACTATATTCTACAGGACAAGGCTTAAATGCACAGATAGGTGACTAACATTAGGAGCCTGCCTCTCATTTGCATTTGCAAAAGAGGACATGGAACAGAGCTGATCAGAACCCAACACAGCTATGTTTGCGGCAACACAGGTGCGGGAAGGGAAGAGCCAAGACCTGAACCCACACAGACATCATCTCTGTTCTCTCATAACTACCACAAGCTTACTTGCTGCTACCACGAATTCCACTAACTGCCCCAAAGTGTATGACGCCTGCTCTTGGCACTGTTCCAGAACCTCTGAGAACTGTGTATCTCAGACACTGAAACACCCCAAAGAATCTTCCCTTAGGCAACTGTGGAAAATTCACCCAAATGGGCAGTACTGTATGCTATGTGAATTTTATCTCAATAAGGCTTTTTAAAAATGAGACACTCCATGCTTTCCATCAAAGCTTGTTTCTACAGAAACAAACCATAAATGATTTAGCTATGATAGGATTTCACCAACTCAACATCATCTTGATATAGTCAAATAGGGCTTTGTCACAAAAGCGGGAAAAAAAAAACCAAATATATACACTTTAATAGTATGTTCATGCCTCTTTTCAATGATTCACTGGTAACTAAGACAGCTCATTATAACACAGTTATGATGTAATGTGCCCCTGCAAATGAAAATCTCAAACGACAGAAGACGGTAAGAGTTCATCATCAGTACCTTGTCTCCATCCTTTCCCAAAGTCTCTTGGACTCTTCTGATCTGATACCTGATGAAGGGACCTAACACACATACAAATTTGTACCGAGCACCTTGGTTTACACAACACTTTTGTAACTGTTCCATCTGTAACCACAGCTGGCTGTCCTTCAAAGAGAACCACTATGCAGAGAAACTGCTCCCGTGATAAATACCCATCCCTGAATTTCAAGTATGGGAAGAATACACTTTCTTGAACGGTCATCATTTAGACAATTATCCATGTGAAATCAGTGTCCTTGTATACTGTACCAAGTATATCCCTCAATTGGACAAACGGGAAGTGTTGTAACAGGTTCTGACACATCTCAAAAGCAGGAACAGGAAGTCCCAAAAGACACTTCCCTCTGTGTTTCCCCTCCCCACCACACTGGACGTGTCACCATATTTTGGTAAAATGATAGAAAGGTATGAGTGGGATTTCTGAGTTCTTGTTTCCTCTGCAAAAGCATAAATACCTAAAGATTTCCATTTTGGTTGTGAGCCTTAGCCTTTAATGACTGCGCTATCTCTCTAGCCCAAGATTTCCATTTTGAAGAATATAAACAGGGCAGTTGCCTTGGCCTCTGCAGGGTGGCATCCCTGGTTTGAGTGACCTGTGAGGATCTGGGCTGCTGCTCTGGTACTCCAAACCCAGGGATCTCCCTGGATGCCTCATCCTGAGCAGCCTCAATACTCAACTTTCTCCTGTTACTATCCCAAATCAGGCCCTCCAGTAATCCCACTTTATTCAAGGTTTCAGTTATTCATAGCCTGAAAAACATTAAATTTGTCTTGGCTCTTTTGGGAAAGACAATGTTTACAGAACTTTTATCACAGTTTGTTATAATTCTATGATACACTTACATTGTTATATATTTTATGCACAATTGCTGACACATATGCATAGAAAAATACACTATATTTAGAAAAACCATACTGTCCCTGGTTTCGGTATGCACTGAGGGTCTCAAGCTGTATCTCCTACAGAGAAGGGGAGAGAGAGAGTTGATTCTTTGCTTCCCAGGGGATACCCAAACACTTCATGGGGTTCCCTCTGGAGAGTTCAGACTCAAGCATCCCTTCCTCTTTAGACTCATCCCTGAACATTCTCTGAAGCTAAACAGCCCGACAATACAATGCTCTGCTCATAGACTCAAGGTGCACCCTTTCAGATGTACCCCCAGGCACTGGTACACACTCTCAGGTGTACCCCACGGCACTGGGTCAAAATGGATGTCATTTCTTTCCCTGCCACATGTGTTAGATAGGTGTTGAATAAATTTTTTTTTTTTAAAAAATCACAGAATTACAAGTTAAATACATGTAAATATTGTGAGTGATATGTTTCTCTTTGGAGAAAACTGGAAGGATGCTATAGTTTGAGAATTTTGTTTGATTAAAATATTACCCCCAAAATATCATTTGAAGGAATTGCGAAATGCTGGGTTCCTTTGGAATATCTCTAAGCTAGAGATTTCACATATCATTGCTCAGCTGTCAAATCTCATGCTCCCTATACTGTCCCCCACTGTGGCCAAACTTCTAATGTAGGTCAAGGTCAGCATGGAAACTGTCCATGTAGCCTTGCTATGATACAGCATAAAGAACTCTGCCAACCTCGTTGCTATATGTCAGGTGTAATGGGGCACTAATACACCCTGGTGCCCAGCAAGGCAGCCTGGGTGGGAGGTTCCCAACATGCTCCTGGATGCAAGCTGTGTACTCTGGCTCTGGGGCAGGTGACTCCAGTGGGGAGCACAAGTCTCTCTCTATTTGAGGACTATCACCAGTCACCCTGGAAACCAAAGAGTGGCACTCACAGGCAATGGAGAGCTTCAAACTGTCAGAATGTGGAGCTGTTCCTCCATCAGGACCAAGACTCAACCAAAAGACAGAGAAGGCTGGACCAACAAAGGAGGAAACGGGCCACTTTACAGAGGCCAGCATGAAGCTAAGTGTTTATAACATCCTCCCCCCCCTCCCCCGCGTGCAAGATGAAAAGAAGTACAAAAAAGGAGGGGGGGCAGATTCCCAGGGACACACTATCAACTCAACCAACCCAGCTGTTTAAGCCCTTCCTGTTATGCAACCAACAAAGGCAAAGGCTGCTTCCAGATAACTTCTAAAACTGTTCTTTGACTCTGACCGATTTAACACTTCCCACAGATTTAAAAGGAGCAAGAGTGGCCTCAAATCTTACAGTCTTTATTTAAAGGCTTTTTTTAAGGGGAG